AAAACATAAAATTCAACAGACCAGTGTTAGTTGGTATGAGTATTCTTGACTTGTCAAAACACTGAATGTATGACTTTTATTACAACAAACTTAAGAAGCAATATGGTGATAGATGTGAGGTGTTATGTACCGATACTGATTCTTTGTTAATGGAAATACAAATGGATGTGTATAAAGATATGGCAGAAAAAATAGATATGTACGACACAAGCGATTACCCAAAAGATAATCCATTGCACAGTGCGGTAAATAAAAAGGTATTAGTTAGGATGAAGGATGAATGTGCTGGAACTCCTATTGCAGAGTATGTTGGATTAAGATCTAAGATGTATTCTATAAAGAATTGGGAGATAAGAAAGGCTAAAGGTGTTAAGAAGTATGTGGTAAAAAAGCATATCAAACACGAAGAGTATATGAGGCATTACTCAATGGTAGAACATTCAAACACGACATGATCACTTTAAGAAGTGACAATCACAGGATATATGTTTAAGAATGAACAAGACATCATTATCCCCCTTATATACAAAAAGATGGATTGATAAGGATGGTGTAACTACCTATGCTTATGGTTACTTAAGAAGCTAAAAGAAAAGGCTCGCCTTCTTTCATAACCAATCGACTAATCCTATATATCATAAGAGACCAAACTGTATCAGTTGCAAGACGTTGGCCTCCTTCGAGTTCTCTGGGCTGGTATAAATATCTTACACTTACTCTATCAGGAAGGTTTTGTTCTTTGCCTCGCCGTGGTGCTGAAGATTCGGAAGTCACAGATTTCATTTTCACCGCATCAGATGGTTTCTTCCCGATTAATCTTGTTACTTCATTATTCAGCTGATATTAATTGATCTGATTTTATTTCAATCCCATACTGATATCCAAACAAACGTTCGGCTAATGTCCGGTTAAATCTTTCAACGATAGCTTGGATGCGGTGGGCCTCTTTTTCACCACCACGCCTGATTGCAACATTGTACTTTGTTAATAGTTTAGTTACTGATGCCATTAACTCGCCACCAGGATCTACTTGAAACAACTTAGGCCATTTTATTGGTCCACGTTTATAAATACGACCCAGTGTATTAGTAATCTTATGACTCTTTCGAGGTTAACGATTCAGCCTCCTTGGACTGACTACCTACATCTACTACAGTTAAAGCATATTTATATGTTTTGTGTCTTACCTTATCATGAGAAAAAAACAAGGGGTCAGCCTGATGAACTTCATTCGTTGTAAAAATATCAAACTTTTTCCTCGGTATATAACGCAGGGCTGGTTGGTATATTTGCCATATTACTTGGTTTATAACCAATCCTTGGCAACATCTTTAGATACCTTAGCCGCTGCAGCTAGTTTTTGTATTGCCCCTACACCTTTCCATTAATATCCTCGTGGGCTGTTGTAAATTTTATCCATTATTAATTAATATTGATCTTTCTTTAATACTAAAAATTGTATGCGTATGAGTAAAAATAATGTTTTCACAACAATTTAGCTTAGTCACATGACGATCATTGGATCGTATCGCATAATTTGCATAAAAAAATGACCCTCTGTAGAAGCATTGATAGGGCTCGGTCCTGGTCTTGGGTGGGTTGCAAGCAGAACCCCCATTGCCTATACTACTGGTCGCTAATGCTTAGGTTTGTTTGTTGATTAATGCCTCACTTCCTGCTATATGACAACGGCCTGTAAATAATCAAGTCTGGAACAGACTATCCAGTGATTGATATCATGAGCATGGATCTACACATTTGGAATACGATGACATGCATCAACCAAATCAGTGAGTCTGACCACCCTATCTCGTTAGTTGCATCTTCTAACAAGCATAGTGGCCTCTTTTGGCAAGCATGGGTTGCTGAAGACCTATTCTATACCCGGATAATTCTTATGTAACTAACGTCAATTTCGTATTTATGTATCGTTACTGTCACATTTTTTTTTTCATTTTTTAAAAACATTTTTTATTCAATTCTGTACATGATGTTACATAGTTTTACATTGAGTAAACATGACATGTAATATACTTATTAGGTGTAGGTTACATACCTATACAGCAGACAGCAAATTTTAGTTGGCTACAGGTGTACAACAATGTTAACAAATGGTGAAATGAGCAGGCTACATTTGCCATGCTTATTGGGGTCATCATTAACTACGTGTGAAGCTAAATCCTTACAGCACGTTTGTGGAAATTGTTCATGTTCAACATAGAGACATATAAACTAGACAATTCATTTGCCAAATTTTTCCATTTTCTGTCAAACTGTCTTACTGTATTATTTTTGTGCGCAATTGATTTCTCTATCCAAAATATATCGATTAAAGTCTTCAGAAAGTTTTCAGGTGACAATTTGGTTTTTTTTAATACTTGATAAATACATATATTTTTTGCATGCCAGAATGTTAGAGTTGTAACCAAGTAAAACAGAACATTTTGTAAATGTAAATTGTTTTGAACATTTTGCATTAAGAAAACATTCTACTTTGGCCAAAAACTCTTTAATATGGTTGCAGTCCCAATATACGTGAAGTAAGGATTCAGTATCAGTTGCACAAAGTGAGCATAGATCATCATCGAGAATTTTCCTTTTAAACAATTCTTTCTTTGTAAAGATGATGCAATGAATAAATATATATTGAAAATCAAGTAATTTTACATCTTTTGTATGTTTTCCGTATCTGATAAAAACATCCTTCCATGATATAGATAAGTCAAGAATGGTATCCCATTTTTCACAGACTGTTGGTAGATTTGCTGTAGTTAAAGTCTTATCATAAAAGTATCTGGAGCCTTTAGGCACTACCAAGTAAGTCCATCGAAGTCGTATTTCAATGCTGATTATATAACATAATGTGATTATTTCTAATAGCATCTCTCCTGGATTTTGGCATGTTCAATATAATGTTTATATAATTGTGCCTTTAATTTGGTATTTTCTTTTAAGTTCATTGAAGGGCATTATATCATCTCAATTTTTTTACAGAGATCTTTAATAGTGTAAATTCACTTTAAAAACCAATTTCTTATGATGAAATCAGTTTTTTTAAACTGATGGTTACACCAAAGAGGTTCTGATAGTACCTCTCCAGGGTTTGTGGAGTGAGTTCTGTGTCTTCTGTACAATGTTACCCAAGCAGCCAAAACATCTCTCCAGTAAGGGTTAGGAAAGTGTATACAGTTTTCAATATTGGCCCCAAGCAGGAATATGTTTTTTATTGGAAAGATGCTTGGGTTATCACAGTGTTTTGTTTTGAAGATGTTTTTTTGGAATTGACAGTTTTTGAGAAATTATAAAAGACCTTACCTCTATCATTCTAAGTCTGCCTTTGTCATACTTTCTAATTAATGTTGTTCGTTTTATTTTGTCCCTTTTATCATTCCTGATGAATCTGCTTAATATTTTGTTTCGTTCATCAATAAAGTCACTTGGAGGGTTTGGAAGAGAGGAAAATATATGTACTGAGGTTGACAGGGCCAAGGTTTTGACAATAGTAATTTTACCTATCAATGTTCCATTTCTTTTCCTCCAATTCCCTAAAATTTGATTAATAATTTCAATTCCTTTGAATGTGTCACACAGGGCCGTATATAGTAAACCCTAAATAAGCTCCACCCACAGACATTGATGCAGCCAAACACGACCAATTTGATGTTTATGCCCTGACACAAAGTGGGGCAGGGAATATAGAAACAGAGTTCATCTGTCCGGCCGCTTGTCCGCTTCTCAAAGGGCACAAATTTTCTTAAAAACTATTTAAGTTAGAGAAATGAAATTTTACACACTGATATTACTTATTATCATAATCTCATTGAGTTCGAGAATTGGTGTCTTAAATTTGTTAGGGCCCTTGCTCCATGCTTTTCAACTTTGTGCATGGTGTCTGCAATGGGGACAATTCTTCTCCAAAACAACCGACGTTACTTGAGTGAAAATGTGCATGCTTATCTACGAGATACTTGTCAAGGCTAAGATAAAAAATTGGTCCCGTAAATTATTTATTTCTGGAGTTACTTCCATTGCTACATGTTTATAGATTTTGATCATACACAGTTATGGCCCTTCAACCATGTTTATTATATTTTACAAAGTGCATAGTGTCTGCAATGGGGACATGTTTTCTCAGAAACTACTGATGTTACATGAATGAAAGTTTGCATGTTTATCTCCAAGATACTTGTCAAGACTGAGTTTTAAAATTGGTGCCATGAATTATTTTTTTCCAGTGAAGGGTCTTTTTGTGTTTATTAATTTCACATTTGATCATTATTTTCTGATGACATTAAGTGACCCTAGTTCCTATCTCTTCATAAGGCTTTAAAGGACTCTTTTTCTATAGTTTATATTCACTACAATATGAACAAGCAAAATTCTAATGTGGCTGATGGCAGGGGATAGGGATGACGCTGTTTTCTTGTTTACTTGCACTACCTAAAGTTGAACCATCATTTAATTGTTTCTTCATGATTCATGTGAACTACAGAGCTTTATGGCTAAATTTTTGTTTTTAGATGCCTACCATAATAATATACTTAAAATTTTCCAATCTCATAACCTTTTTTCATAGTTGCCATCTGTATTTGAACAATGATCTCTGGCATTATATTTAAACTTGTGAATGGTTTCAATAAGAGCACCCATTTGTTCATTTTCTAAACACTCATGGCAAATACAGTCTCCATTTAATGACAAAGTGAATAGTTTTTCCTTGACACCTATGCAGATTACCTCCTCTATAATAACTGTTGTTATACTTAGATAGCCTCATTACACTCAAACGTAATATTGGGAACCAATCATTCATTATTATGTCAGATGAGAAAGTTTCAACAAGGCAGATACTTTCTCACATGCTTTTGTTTTATCTCAGCATTTGCTTTGAGCCCATTTAAATCCAACAAATATAAGAATAAGGTGGTTGTCCTCAGTGTTGCCATTTCAGTACTGGATGATGTACAACAGACTGATAAAACATTCATGTGTGTTTTCAGATATACCGTCACTGTGCTGATCTGGACACATCTGGCCTTAAGGACCCTAGACTACATGAGGCAACAAAAATATCCTGCTTGTACAACCTTGGACGCCTTTATACAGAGGAAGAACGATATCAGGTACATCAAAAAATTTAGTGTCTGGTCCAACCACAGACAATCCCACAAACTGATCATGACTTAATAATAACAAGCACAAGATTATCTTGTGGATGACAAGCTTAACCCCTTCTTACACTCTGCAGGACCCTGAGCAAACATGCTTAAACCCTCTCTTCCACTCTGCAGGACCCTGAGCAGACATGCTTAAACCCTCTTTTCCACTCTGCAGGACCCTGAGCAGACATGCTTAAACCCTCTCTTCCACTCTGCAGGACCCCGAGCAGACATGCTTAAACCCTCTTCCACTCTGCAGGACCCCGAGCAGACATGCTTAAACCCTCTTCAGCTCTGCAGGACCCTGAGCAGACATGCTTAAACCCTCTCTTCCACTCTGCAGGACCTTGAGCGGACATGCTTAAGCCCTCTCTCCCACTCTGCAGGACCCTGAGCAGACATGCTCAAACCCTCTCTCCTACTCTGCAGGACCCTGGGCAGACTTGATTAAAATCTATATCCAACTCTGCACACCGATTGATTACCTGTGATCTATGAAGATTTCAGTATTACAAAGGGCACATCTTAAATATTTTCTTCAACCGAAACAATGATACGATTACTACTCCCTTTTGTCATCCATGTTTCATGATATAACACTACACCTGTGTATTTGTCATCATTCACTTGATGCTCATTCAATGAATTTATTACAGGCCTAATTATTGGTACCGCCACTCAGATTACCTGACAATGGTCCCCATTTGGCACTTCTTGTGTCTGGGGTAATTATTCAGTCTAAATCCAGGTCTGAAGTGAGGTGAAATGTATGTTACGTAATATACGAGGGGTGTTCATTAAATATTTCCCCTAAACCACTTAGGGTTATCATATTTGGTTGAAATTTCACATGTGTAATGATACATGTATCTATGGGTTATGTCTGAATTTGCAGCACTGAACTATTAATCTTACCACTTTTACAGGTGTTATGATCAAGTAGGGGGTGACAATGGAGCCAGTAGAATACCGAGCAGTGATTAGGTTTTTATATTTGAAAGGTCCCACACCAAAAGAAACTTTTGATGAAATGAAAGCAACTTATGGGGAAGATGCCCCATCAAATGACGTTGTTAAACACTGGCATCGCCAGTTCAAGTGTGGTCGGACATCTGTGGAAACAGCTGCCATACCTGGTCGCCCCCATTCAGCCATTGATGAGGACACTATCCATCAAGTGGAGACCGCCATTTTGGCAGACCGACGTATAACTGTTCGCCAGTTAGCACAAGATGTCAAGATCAGTGTAGGGTCTGTGGAAAAAAATCATCCATGACAATTTGAACATGCATAAGGTGTCTGCACGATGGATTCCCAGGTTGCTCACACCTTTCCAAAAGCAGGAACGAGTCAATTGCTCTAAGGATCTTTTGGACATGTGCCAAAAAAACAGGCAAACTTGTTTGACAGACTTATCACACAGGATGAAACATGGGTCCATTACTATGATCCTGAGACTAAAGTTCAGTCGATGCAATGGAAGCATGTGGAGTCACCACCCCCAAAGAAGGCACGTGTCCAACCCTCTGCAGGCAAGGTCATGCTCACGGTGTTTTGGGACCAGCACAGAGTAGTGATGATGGATTTCTTGGCAAAGGGTACCACAATTACAGGTGCTTATTATGCTTCACTGCTGCGGAAATTGCGGGACGCTATCAAGCTTAAGAGGCATGGCATGCAGACCAAGGGTGTCCGTCTCCTGCAAGACAATGCTCCAGTACACAACTCTCATGTTGCCCAGACAGAAGCACGGTCCTGTGGCTATGAAATCCTTCCACATCCTCCTTACTCTCCTGACCTTGCACCATCTGACTTCCACCTCTTTCCAACCATGAAGTCATTTTTAAAGGGAGAACGTTTCACAGATGATGAAACACTGATTTCTGAAGTCAAGTCCTGGTTTGAGACGCAAAATGAGGGCTTTTCCAAGCGAGGTCTCCATAGTTGCATAAAACGATGGGAGAAGCGTGTAACTCTTGGTGGTTCCTATGTGGAGAAAGACTAATACCTATGCCAAGTTTCATTCCACTAGGTCCATCAGAAGTGGGTCAGGGGAAATCTATAATGAACACCCCTCGTACATGTGGCACCTGAGCAAGAGAGGAATGATCAGTTGAGTTACAAACAAACATCAATGAAAGGAGTAACCCAAAATATGTTGATTGATTAGTCACTGTTATCTTGCACAAAGGATTTGTCAAAAGTAATGTGTAGGTTTACCAAAGCAGACGGAATACTTCCTATCGGGGCGTGAAGTGTCGATGTAAAAACAGCACAAGTAATGGTGATTCTGGCTCACTTCCACTGGAGTCAGATTTATATACCTATACCGCTACTACAGAGGGAATTTTTTATGTCAAAATGAATAGATAATGAATAAAATTTACTATAGCCCACGAGGATATTGGAAAGGTATAGGAGCAATACAAAATTTAGCCACCACGGCTAAGGTATCTAGAGATGTGTCCAAGGATTAGTTAAAGAAACAAGCGATGTGGCAAATATACTTACTGGCACTGCGTTATATACCGAGGAAGAAGTTTGATATTTTTACAACAAATGAAGTTCATCAGGCTGACCTCTTGTTTCTTCCCCAGGATAAGGAAAGACGCAAAACGTATAAATACGCTTTAACTGTAGTGGATGTGGCTAGTCGATACAAATAGGCTGAGCCATTAACCTCGAAAGATTCAACAGAAGTAGCTAATGCACTGAGTCGCATATATAAACGCGGACCACTAAAATGGCCTAAACAAATTTCAAGCAGACCCTGGTCGCGAGTTCATGGGATCAGTAACTAAACTGTTAACAAACCACGATGTCGAAATCAGGCGTGGTGAAAAAGAGGCCCACCATAGTCAAGCTATCATTGAAAGATTTAACCGGATATTAGCGGAACATTTGTTTGGCTATCAGTATGGGATCGAAATGAAATCGGAACGATTGAGATCAACCGAATGGGTGACACAATTATCAGCTGTTGTATCAGCGCTGAATAATGAAGTAACGAGATTAATCGGGAAGAAACCACCCGATGTGATTAAAATGAAATCTGTGACTTCCGAATATTCAGCACCGAGGAGAGGCAAAGAACAAAAACTTCCGGATAGAGTAAGCGTAAGTTATTTATACCAGCCCGGTGAACTCGAAGGAGGCCTACGTCACGCAACTGATCTGATTTGGTCCCTTAAGATATATAACATAAGTCGGTTGGTTATGAAAGAAGGAGAGTCTATTCTTTATTATCCCCCACCCCAATGAAGTTGTGTGTGTGTGCGTGCATGCGTGCGTGCGTGTGTGCGTGTGTGCGTGCATGTGTGCTTCCCGAAATTGTTTCCGGAGCATAACCGTTAAATATTTCTCTGAGAAAGTTTGCATGTCTATCAGACTAATGCTGAACTGGTGCCTTTTGCTATTTAGGAATTTTATTAATTTTTATGTTTTACGTTTCCATGGCAACAAGTTTGACTTAGGTTCTATAAGGGTGGTGTTAGTTTCCGGAGCATAACTCAAAAACTGTTAAATCCTTTCTTACAAAACTTTGCATGTCTACTAGGCACATACTGAACTGGTGCCTTTTGCTATTTAGGAATTTTAGAATTTTTTATTGTTTATGTTTCCATGACAACAAGTTGGATTTAAGTTTTAATATAGGATTGGTTTACTTAAGTAGTATAACAAATAAACTGTTAAATATTTCCTTGCCAAACATTGCATGTCTATATATAAAGCGCATACTGAACTAGTGCCATTTGATATTAAGGAGTTTTAGAAATGTTTATTTTAGAATTTCCATTGCAGCTATTTTGACATGGGCTAAGCAAAATGTTGGGTCAGTTACCTGGTTTGGGACCATAACGTGTTAAAATGGGCGGGGGATATAGATGACTTTGTCAACTATACGCTTGTTATCTTAAAGATGGACCGGGCAGGGCATTTGTACGAGAAGAGTTGCTCATAGTTCCCAACGATACAGTATTACCACCATAACCATAAGCATAGGTAGTTACACCATCCTTATCAATCAATCTCTTTGTATCTAAGGGGGATAATGATGTCTTGTTCATTCTTAATCCATATATATTCTGTGATTGACACTTCTTAAAGAGTTCATCTCGTGTTTGAATGTTCTACCATTGAATAACGCTTCTTTATACTGTTCGTGTTTGATATGCTTTTTTACCACATACTAATGTACTTCTTAACACCCTTAGCTTTTCTTATCTCCCCATTATCGGACTTCTTTATACAATACATCTCAGGTCTTAATCCGACATACTCCGCTGTAGGGGTCCCAGCACATTCATCCTTCATCTTACCTAACTCATTTTTATTTACTACGCTGTGCAGTGGATTATCTTTTGGGTAATCGCTCTTGTCGTGCATATCTGTTTTTTCTGCCATATCTTTATACACATCCTCAGTTTGTATTTCCATCAACAAAGAATCTGTGTCGGTATATAACACTGCTTCTTAAGTTTGTTGTAATAAAAGTCATACATTAAGTGTTTTGACAAGTCAAGAATACTCATACCAACGTACACCGGTCTGTTAAATTTTATATTACTCTTCCGCATATGTAGTGCGGCTAAGTCGTCATCAAATATCTTGCTTCTGTTAAAAGCCGGACTGGCTATAAGTTTCCTAAGTCTTTCTTCCTCATTAGACCTGACTAATTTAACATCAACACGCTTCCTTAGATTCTCCATAATTTTACAAAATACTGAGTTATTCATGAGCTTATATAGATTATTTTCGAAATCGCTGGTAGCTATCTTTCTTAAATCTGTGTTCAACCTTATATAGGGCTCCATCCAAGGGCTTTGATCAAACTTTAGACACTGTGTATTTTCTTTAGTTTCATACCTAACGATAGATGTAACTGGAGATTTCTGTAGTGAACTATATATTTTGTCTTATTCATCAAATTTGGTACAAGTTTTTCTACGTTAGCTAACCTAGTA